TACTTCATTATTAGACCTAGATTAAAGATGATTCTAACCCTATGTTCACTTACTTGGTTCAGAATGGCATCTGTCCAACAGTTCAAGTGCCTGATATGAAACCCAAAGGGTGCAAGATACAGAAGCCTCCTTCCTTCTGGTGTTACTGTTGGGATAAATTTTCAGATCAGATCCTGTAGTGGGAGGTTGCCTGTTCTGCAGAGGCAACCTGTGGAATACGAGCCTTTTACCAGGCTTATTACCTTCATCTGATGCTTTCCTTACACAATGTCAAATTTGCTTTTAATTGTAGCATCTGGGTTTGAAGTTAAAATATCAATGGAGCCAATTAATAAGGTGGCACTGAAGTTTTCTTCCACCTGCTGAAAGCAGCAGGTACTATAGCTCTTTAAACCAAGTAAACCGAGCTGGGGACATGGGAGAGTGCTTAGCAACAAAATGCAGAAAATGAAGCATTACTATATTTTAAGTGTTTTCTGAGCAGCAAAGAAAATTGGTTTACTCTATGCTGCCCAAAAAAAGTGCAGTAGTTCAGATCAAATGGCCCGAAGGTGTCATAATTGTCATCTCCCCAGATTTGCTCCTTGTTCCTGACACTGAGTACATTTTATTGTGGTGAGATCACAATGTATGACCTACTCTTGCTTACAGAGATCCTTTATACTGCTACATTTCCCAGGGCACTGTTGTTGACTGGGTCAGTTTTAAAGCTTTTTAAGGAGGTGAATGTTTTGTAATTTAAATGAAGACTTCTTCTGTACTTGTTTACAGGAGCTCCCCCCCAGTCCTAACATTTCACAGTATTCTAACTTCATTAGACACTTGGATGCTTCCAAATACCATGTTGATTTGCTGAACTTTTCAAAAGTTGGCAACATTTGACTTTGTAAAGCAAATGTCTTTGCTAACTCCGCAGTTGGTGTGTTTGAGGAGTCTTTTTGGTTTAGGTGATAACTAAGCTAATGATCTTTAGATAAAATATCTGTTAAATTTGCAGCATTTATTAGGTAGATTCTATTTCTATAGCTTTAATGACCTTAATTGGCATACTGCTGAGATTTTATCAGAGTATTATCTAAATAAGAATGAGACCATAAGAAGGACATTTTTATGGTGTACAAACAGAATATTTATATTAAGACATTGAATTTGTAGGTAATAAATCTAGTGACCCTTTGAATTTGCATTCTTCTGCAGCTCATGCAAAACTTACTGGTGTTTTATGGGGTTATAAAATTTTAATTGTGGATGCTAGTTCAACAGAACCTGCTCTTTCTATTCATGGCCATGTGTGCAAAAATAGAAGGATGCTAATGTTGAATTCTTGCTTCTAGTTATCACAGTGGACATTTCTCTAAGGCACAAGATGCTTATCTGCAACTCTTAAGTTGATTCCTGGATAATTTTTTTTTCCCCTAAATGGATGAGCTCCTCCCAGTTCCTGCAATATGATGAGTAAGATGGAAACTTGATAAGTTTGAATGGCTGTTGTCCAGTTACTGTAATTGGAGTCCTATTTTTATATAATGCAAATGATTTGTAATGGACACCACTGAACTAGGTGTTTCCATATTATTAAAGTCCTGGTTGTGATGTCTAGTGGCTGTTCTAACTGCATGTATTTTAGAACAGTGAATTTCCTTTGCTTTACTGGGCTGTTTTTTGTTGTAAATTACAGCCAAAGAAGCAGCAGGTACTTCTCATTCATGCTTCCAAGGTTTAACACCAAAGACAAAAATCATTCTCTTGATTACAGAATTAAAAAAACAAAAACCAACAAACAAAAACCAAGAAAAATTGTAACCCCTGCTCATCAGGTCCTTGCACTGATAACAGATAAAACTTTAAGATACTTTGGGCTCCAAGGCAAGAGTCTTTCTGAAGCCAGCTTGTGACTGTCCTGCGAACCAGATGTAAACTGGTCTCCAAACCTGTATGAGTTTCTGTGCTGCCTAAACTGTCATGTGAACTAAAGAGAAACTTGCTGTGAATAATCACCAGCTGGCCTTTGTTGCTCCCAGGCAGAATGTCCTCTCCTTGACCCAGAGGAGCCTGGCAGGTTGGGCTGCCTTACAGGTGGGATTCTGATTCTGACAGCCTTTGGTTCTCTGCAGGATAGGACTGTATACCTCAGCATATGCAAACTTTGGTGATTGTTCTGAAGCTTAACCAAAACACTAGGCAAGGCTGATGTTGGATTCTTCAGGTGATTCTGCCTGGAAGGGAGGATTTGATGGCTTCTAGAAGTCAAAGGAAAAATGGGAACATAAAAGATTGGGGTCCTGTGAGAGCGAGAACAAGCTTTTGAAGTTCTCCCTTTCTCTAGACTGCGTGCTGGGCAATGCCATCCTGCATCCAGGATCCCTGTGACGTCGTTCTGCAGTGCAGAGAGGCAGCCTGACTGTGAGCTGAAAGAGGGTGACCCTCTAAGAAGGCTCATCCATTTAAAAGCTGTAACTTGCAACGTGCCTGATCAGTCTGGTCTGGTTTAACCAACCTGTTCTGTAAAATTTTGGAGCATGAAGATAGTGAGAGAAGCTTGTAGTAAGATACTCAACATTGCCATGTATCTGGTTAGAGCACCAGTAACGAGCAAAGTCGGAAAGCGTGTGTGTGGCGATGCCGAGACCAGGGAGTGAAGCGAGGTGCCCGTTTGTAAGGATCTGCCCGCATCACTGTATCTCAGCTCGGTCCTTTTTGCCATGGCCGTTCATCACAGTTGTTGTGGAGAATGAGGTTTGTTGTTGTTACTGCTCAGTGTTCAGTAAATCTGCTGTGGAGTCTCTGAAATTGGCAATAGAGAGAGATCTGGTTTTTAATAAATTAACTCAGCAGCAAAGTGGGCAAAGAGGATAGTGTCTTCGAAACTTAGAGGAAGAAGAGTCTCTTGTTTGTGATTCCCTGCTTGTGATTGTTGTGAAGTCAGTGAGAGGAGCTTTCAGTGGTCAAATATTTCTGTTTAATGTCACAGCACAAGTTTCGCAATGTAACACAACAAAAAAGGGCAAAAGTGGTCTCTTTTTAAAAACAGTGCAAAACTTAAAACTTTAAAACAAAATTTTAAAAAACAAAGTGCAATTTTGCACAGAGGGCAAAAAAACGAAACCCCTTTGAATGTCACTTCCATTCTTACTTTTCCGTTGGCTGAAAGCAGACTCTTGTTCTTGACATGTATTTGTAAACTAGTCTTGCCAAAATACAAACACTTTGTCTCTTTTTTTTCACTCCAGATAACTTTTGTTGTTACGGTTATTGCTGATTATTTTCACTTTTTCCAAACCATATATTTTATTTCAAGAGGCCTTCCTTGTGGATTTCCTCCTGATGGTCTGCAGCACTGCACTGCTATTTCAAGATGCAAGAGAAAGTCACTAACCTCACAGGAGAACGCTCAACTCTGCTTAGCTGGCTGGAGCTAACAGTGCGCTACTAATTTTCCTCTGCTCTGTGGGGCAGGAGGGGAATTAAATTCTGCATAAAGTTGCTACCTCAAGGCTCCAAGTGCTTTTAAAGGTCTTTCACTTGGGAGAATTTAATAAGACAGTTCTTAAAATTGGTCTGTTCTTTTGAGTTAAATGAGATTTTTTTAATTGATTCATTGAGGGACCCTTATTTTAATTCATTTTTACATTTAGTACTTGATTCTCAAAGGATGAACAGCTGCGAAGTTTGGTTCTTGCACTATAGTGTTGAACATGAAAGAAAAATATTTGCCATATAAACATATGGTTTTAACAAGTTAAACCACTCTGGGGTTCAGCTTCACTTTGGATTAATAAAAAAACCTGATATGTTGTGTCCAGCCTTCCTTGTACAATCTTGTGTGTGCTCTTTATTGACTCACTGCAGCTGACACAACCCCGCCAGTGCTTACATCAGGAGTGGACTTTACAGCAGCTAACGAGATTGACTCGAGTGCCTGAGTTACTGTGGTTGTGTTAGCAGAGCCTTATGGACAACAGCACTCGCCCTACTGCAATAACTAAAAGGGATTTATACGTTACCTGACCACCAAGTTTTGCTGTTTGGTGATTTAAAATTTTACTAATATCTTAAAAAAATAATACCAGTTTCTGTAGATATAATTGCTCCCAATAAAACTGGCTGCTCTGATATGTCTGCCAAAGTATTGTAGAACTGATTTGTTGTTTCAGCATTCTGCTAACCCGTTCTTGGTTCCTAGGAGCAACACAATATTCCTGAAGGCCTTTTGTTGGCCTGCACTTACAGCTACTGAATTTTATGTGGCCAGCTGCCTTTTTTTTTTTTTTTTTTAACCTAACTAACCATTTAAAAAAAATTGCTTTGGTACATGTGAGTTTGTCTGCTCAAGTGCTCAGTATTTGCTCTTGCTGAAGTTTTATTTCTAAACATTCAGCATTTTAAGTACAGTTTTAAAATTAAGTCTGGGAGAGTAGTTCAGATGGATTGTGGTGCTAAACATGAGAAGGCCTGTGCTAGAATCCAGTACTTTAGCTTTGGGCACTTTAACTTGAGGAAGATGTTGACACCTGAAGGGGACAGAGGGCAGGAGCATAACAATTATCTAGAAAATGTTACATTTTACAGAAAGATAAGGAAAATCTGGGCTTTTTTCTAAGGGAAAAGGACTGGGGGAAAAGGAACAGGGAATATTCAAACAAGGAGGAATGATCCCATATTCATTAGGACAGGCCTATTAATACAGGGTCTAAACTACAGCAGGGAAGCTGTCGATTAAGCATTGAAAAGATCTGTCTAGACAAGAGCTAGGATACCTGGGGCAGTGTGAAATTTTCCAGCACTCATTTTTTTTATTTTCTTTCCAAACAGTTGTAAACTAGCTCTGTTAAATGGTTACAATATCTATCTGAGGCAGAGATGGGTTAGATAACCTCTTGGGGAGGCTTTTTTTGAGATAATCTTGCTGTTTTCTCAGGAATTCCGCTTCAGAATCACCAAGGGCTTTAGCTGACACAAATACAAGGTCTCTGGGCTTTGTGCCACATCATCAGTAGAAGATGAACACAGATGAGTGCCTGTAAAAGTCAGGGACACGTGCCCTTTGCACCCCAACATACAAGCAGGCTGGCAGTGGGCTAGGGTTTGGGTCCCCAAAGCTCACCAGGCGCCTGGGACAGAGGAGCCTGGGCTCCCTGCAGGACAGAGAGGAAACCCCAAATCCAAACAGAGAAAACATCTTGAACTTAGAAGTTCCTTTGCAAATGGGGTCTTGCAAGTTGAGCCTCAACACAAGCATATCACATGGATGTTAATCTATTGCAGTGTTACCCTGTTCCTGGATAAACTTTTTTTTTTTTGAAAGAGGTAAGATTCTATAAAGTTCTTATGCTGAGGATGATATTTCATCATTTTGGCAAAGATACTTCTGTCCTTTCTGCTGTTTCTCTCCAAGGGATGTATTTCACACCAATCTTCAGATGAGCTACATGGATTCATGCTGGTGCTGCAATTGTGTTATCTCAACTCTCTGTTGACCAGTGAGATGCAAAGCCAAGCTGTCAGCCTCCCTCTGTGTACTTTTCAAATCTGTTTCAGGTGTGTGTGCTGCAAAAGAGGCTATGTGATTACACAGTGCCCTCCGTGTTTGTAACCTGTTACGGTGCTGGACAACACGCTCCACCAGGAACTGTATCAGGACCAACATAGTTTGTTTAAAGGGGAAGGGCAGGAGTGTCTCAGTGAAGGAACAGCTCAGCTAGCCCCTCTCCAAGAGCGTGTTTACTGTGGAGCGTTCAGTGTTCTTCTGAAGCTAGAAGTGAGCCGGTAGCACTCGGAAACACCATCTGTTCCCGCAGCTTCCAGGAGATTAATTTCAGACGTGAAGACTGCTTCCTGCTATCCTCAGTCAGAAAAGGCCAAGCTCAGGTTTCCCCAGGGCGGGTTTAGGG